AGGGAGGGAAATTCTGTAGTAGACACCTTGGGCACAGTCCTTCTCCCCTTTCTTTCTTCTCTGCTCTTAGCCTACGCCTTCCAGCTTCCTTGGGCAGTGCCAATCCATGTACTTTGGACTGCAGCTCCTGGGGACAGGGGCGTCTCTGTTAGCTGCAGAGCACAACCCCAGCTCAGACCCTGGGAGAACAAGCAGGCTGCATTGATGCAGAAACTGCAGCTCAAGGATTAGGTGGGCACCAGGCACAGGACCTGGCCGGTGTATCGGGGAAGCTCAGCAAAAGCAGCCCCGTGGGCATTGCTCCCTGGCCAGCACTTGCCCTGTGTTCCCTTTGGTTGTGTCCTTCTTGGTTTAGACACATATTGTACCGTGCAAACCCTGTAGCTTGGCTCCTCCATTGGCTCTTTTGGCAAGATAGATCTTTCTGTTCCTATCAATTCATAGGCATGTGATAGGACTCGATGGAAAGTGAGGTGAGGCTAGTAATTTGACGCGACAGCTGATATTGGGCCTAGACTGCATTTTCCACTGGCCAGAGCTTAGCTTCACAGAGCTTTTAAGAGTATTTTTAGTCCCCAGAAAATAAAAGAGAAACTAAACCTGACTCTGTGTGCTGTCGCCTCTGCATACTCGGCTATTTTTACTTCCGACAGACTCGGCCTGGGTCCAGCTTTTAAAAAAAGCTGGAATTATTTTACTTCCATTAAGAAAAAAACCCCAAAGCCTGATGTTATCAAGTCAGCAAGGGGACATCTGATCCCAAAGTTGTCAGGCAGACGTCTCTCCAAGGGGCATGTCAGAGAAATGCAGGGAGCTTGAACAGATCAGCAGATCAGCTCTCCCACTGCAGAAGCTTGGTGCTGGCACAGACATCTCTGCAAGAGCACTTGGAACACGAGTGGCACCCACAGGACACTTAGAAAACTGACATCCCTACCCCAGGCAGCATGCTGAGCCGAAAAGTCCTGCAGAAGTCCTGGCCTTGCCCTCCTCCCTGCAAGGTCAGAGGGGGCTCAGGCAGGCTGGGGAGCTGAGAGCATGCTGCCGGTGAGCTGGGACTCAGTCCCTGTGGTGGACACCGGGGTCAGCTCCACATCTAGGTCAGACGGGGTGGCAGGACTCTTAGGCAGGGTCCCTCAAAACGTAACAAGATTAAATGAACAGCAGCACTTCTTGCAACACAAGGGAGTGGGAGGAGAGGGGATGTTTCCAGCACAGATAGCCTTCGTTTGTGAAGAAGCAGCTGCCAGAAAGGTAGGTTATCAAGGGGTGGTACTTCCCAAACTTTGCCCTGTACTATTGCATCTCACATTGTGTATGTGAGCCCTTCCTTCTTTGTTGCTCTAGCAGCCCCTTCTTGCTGATACTGCCAAGAAGGGGCATGCAGGAGTGCCTATGGTGGTGACAGTTTTGCAGGATGAGTACCTTCTCTCCTGGGAACTGGCCAGTTGGGATCCATGTGAGAAATGGGTTTGTGCAGGAGCTGGAAGGCAACTACTTTCTCTTGCTGCTGTCTTGTTGTCAGGCTGTGGCACCAAATCCTATGTAAGAGTCTTCAGTACAGACCAGCTGTGTCTCGTAAGTGGCTGCTGCACCTTGCAGTTAAAGCTCAGATGGCTGCATGTTTGGTGTCAAATCTGCCCTTGGGGTTACAGTGTATGTACCGCTCAGCCTTGCTCCAGCCATCTCCCTTCTCCTCATACTCTCTCACTTCCATTCATATCTCAGTTTACATCCCCCTCCATTTCTTCTCTGCTCAGTGCTTTCCTTCATGCTGCTTCTCTGAGCTCACCCACTGCACTTCCCCACTCCATTTTAATGTCCTTTAGTGTCCCTCTCAGAGCTGCATTGTAACCAGCCTGCCTATCTTAAAATCAGCCACCGAGGAAATCAAAGTAGAACGGCCACCTGAATACCACAGCTTAGTACCAGGTCCTGATTTTTGGCTATGCCCTTTCCTTCCATCTAGCTATGACCCCTTAGGCTGTCAGATCTTTGGGGAAGGGATTTTGCCATGATGCTTATGTCTGGAGTGTCACAGTCAGGGACTCAGGGGTTGAAATGCTTTTGTTTGCTGTAGCACCTGCAGGTCACTGCACTCAGCAACTGGCGCTGGGATGCGCTACGTAGGGGTCAGCCTATTCACCAGCTCTGCGGCTGGAGCGATGACGACAGAGTAGAATAGTGGCTCTGCAAATGCTGATTGAAAACATTTGCCTCAAGGAGTGTCACGCAGGATGGGGAACAAGAGGAGGACAAACACTTGTTCAAAATTAACAAGCCAAAGTCCTTGGGCAAACAGACCTCTATCTGCTCAGTGAGGGAAGGAGGGATGGAGGGTAAATCTCTCTGTGTCTCTCTTATCTTTTTTTAATGCACTTAAGTCCTTTGTGTCCTTATAATCTGATTGAGGGTCCCTAATACTGCTGCAACCTGTGCAGCCATCCCTCTGCCAAGCACTGGAGGATGGCATGCTTCTCCTTGGGAGAAGGAAACGAGCTCCTTCCCTCATTTCCTCCCTACTCCCCCAGTCCCCCCTCCCTGCTGCTTATCAAACTGCACGGCGAAAGCATCCTGGAGGGCTGTGTGTTGGTTTCTCCTGGGCTAAGAATGGTGTCTCCCTGCAACAGTGATACCCTGCCCACTGGCGTGAGGGAGTGGACCCCCCTGTGACCCTTTTTCTGTGAGGGTCCTGGGGAGCTGTAATTCAGGTCTGAAGTCCTGCAGCCTGTTCTGGATTCCTCCATAATCTTTGAACAGTGTATTCCTGACCCTTTCAGTTTTCACACCTGGTTACTTGGTTTACTGGCAGTTCCTGAAATTTGTGTCTCTCCCTCCTCTCCTGCCTTATAGGTAGGTGTCATTCATTCAGCAGAGCATGGAATAGAGGTCTTCTTTCTTAGGAAACCAGGGCACATTTATAGAGGGAAAGAAATCATGGATGGAAATGAAAGTTTCCTGCTTCATCCAGAACTTTATTAGTGCTGTTCCTCAGGGATCTCCCTAGATAATCTCAGGTTTGGGACTTCCTGGCTGCCCTTTCTGAAATCGCTGTCTGGAATGTGTTGGGACTCCCAGGAAGAAGTCTTGCCCACAGACTACCTGCTGCTGGAGGTAAAAGAAGCAATGATGGGCAACATTTTCAGAAACAGTACCATGTAATGGAGGAGAAAGGAGAAATGCTTAGGGATATCAGTGAATTCTCCACACAGAGTCAGAAATAGGAAATGGGGCAGGGGAAGGAAACTATGCAGTTTGATCTGAGTTTACCTTTGGCTTCATGTCTTTCTCTCCATCTTCCAATATCTGCCATCCTCCCATAGCAGCCACTTGCAGCACCAGTTCCTTTGCTCTGGAAAGCTCCAGGCCTGCTCATTCCTGCTTCTCCTGCTCAATGGGAGCAGCAGGACTCTTAAAAGGAAGCAGCTATATAGCATTAATAACATCATGCCTATGAGCCTCTGTCCCCACACACAGGTAATGCCACCTAGACCTCCATGTGGGTGTTGCTACTGCCAGAGAGATCTTGCTGTCAGACTGTATAACTGAGTGCTGTTGGCCTGATTGGTGTTGGTTATTCTTTGCTGTTGCGGGGCTGTTGGTACTGTCTGTCAGTCAAGCTGGTTTGGGTGCTCCAGCTGTGAAGAGTATCAGGACCAAGATGTCGTGGCAATTAACGGTTTCATGTGGTGCAAGTGGGGCTGGTGTGAGCATTACAGTAAAAGCTTTCTCTTTTCCATGACATAGTAAGCAAATGTGGCATTGAAACGCACAATGTAAGTGACAGACATGTGCCTCTTTCTGGGGTAGAATATTTGTCAGCAGACTGCACGTTTTTTCAGGTGTACAAGTTGTTCAAAAAGCATCACTTCAAAACTGATTTGGAGTGTTTGCTTTTAGATGTTTGTGTTTATGCAGTGGATTGATTGCAAAATATTAATGGCTTGATGTGATTAGTAAGTGTATCGCATAATTGGTTCCTGTGATCAGACTAGATAAACTCCTGTGTGTTTCTAAGGAAGTACTTGTATAGTGTAAATTCAAATTTTTATTCTATTTGAATGCTCCTACATTTACCTTGAAAGATTTTTTTTTGGCAATAGCTGTTTCTCCCAGCAAGACTGAATTACTCCAATTTCACAAGAACTGCTTACCAGAGATGATATGGCTGGCCAGAAATAACTGACAATTGGACAAATATCTATGGCTTTTTTCACGATTTGTTTTTAACATTGTATTTTGTAGTGACACAGCAGTTCAGCTGCTGTTCCTGGTGTATTGATGCTGCTATGGTTTTTTGCATGGTGACAGTCATTGGTGTTTCCCAGTCACTGGGAACTGTTTTCAATGTGCTATTTGCAGTTTGAGTCACTGTATTTTGAAAGAGCTGCAACAAATTCTTCAGTGTCTCCCTACTTCAGCTTTATCATTGCTTTATTGTAGTAGAGGTTGTTTCTATTTATTTGGGTTCTACTTTTATTACAGTTGCCTTACTTGATCAAGGCTGAAACATCTTTGTTGAATTCATAGTCCATAATCTATTTGCTATAGGTCACTTTTTTCAAATATAAACAGTGAGAGGTCACAGAACATTTAACTTCTCATTTTTAAGAACAATCTAAAAGCTTATTTTTATAACTGCAGGTTTGATTGACATTTAAAGTCTTCCTTTTTAAAAGCAAGATCATCTAGAGGGCATTGAGGTCTGAAGCTTTTCATTTGCCCATCAGATTGATGGTGATTCAAGAGTTTGAATGGGTTAATTTCTGTCTTCATTAATGTTTTGAATAAAAGTAAAGCTCACAGCAGCACGGTTAGAGCTGGAGGCAGTCTAGCTGGTATTATTGGGATTGCTGGGTTCAGCTGAGATCTCAAGTGTTTGGGAGAGGGAAACTCCCTGGAGTGTGAGGAACGTCTCACTTAGCAAATTTTAGCATCTGCATGTCAAGGTTCCCTGTGGCACTAAGGAATCATGAGGATTTATCTTGTTTTACCTGCAGGTGTTCGTCTGGATCGAGTCCGTGGAGGCCGCCAGAAATACAAAAGGAGACTGGATTCTGAGAGTAGCACTTACCTGAGCCTACAGATCCCTCCCCCAGCTAAAAAGCCACGTACGTATTGGTCTTGAATTGTGGTCCTCTGAGCAACCACTGTGTTTCTTTTTATTGGTCTCCCAAAATGTACAATGGAGCAGTTGTCACTTCTGATTCCCCTATCAGTCACCAGCACTAGGATTTTTTTCTTATGATCATAGTGCAGAGGTATATTAGGTACAGCTCAGGTGCTGTATTCATTGTACCTAGGGTTAAAGACCAGACCTTTCCTAGGAGATTATGTCAATCAATTTAGTGATACTCTGATCTTTTCCTGTATCCAAGCTATGTTAACAAAACCGGTCCCATGCTGATTTCTCTTCCATACTACCCGTAGTTCTCTAAACTTTTCCACATCCCACCAAATGATTATTCATGCCTCCTCCTCCCCTTGTTGGACCTACCTGAGACAATGGCTGACAACCTTACAGTAGCTTCCTGCTTTTATCATCCCTGTACAGAGCTGGTTTGGCATAGGCAGATCACTACAGCTTGTGTAGCTGCAGTATCGTCTTCTCCTGTTGTGACCAAAACCATTTCTGAGGTCCTATGGCGACTATAGTCATGTCTTATCCCAGGAAGGTCCTTCTAGAAAGGGCTGTTACGACTCTTTACTGTTATATGTCATGAGAGATACAACAACAACTTCTCCTTTGAAATGTGCAGTGACTAAGATCGTCTCCCACTTGCTGGTGGCTGAGCCAGAGAAGATTTATGCCATGCCTGATCCAACCATGCCAGAGAGTGACATCAAAGCCCTGACAACCCTCTGTGACCTGGCAGACAGGGAACTGGTGGTGATCATTGGCTGGGCAAAGCACATCCCAGGTAAACAGGAGGAATTTCAAGGATGTAAGCATGAACAGCGAAGGGAACTATTATTTATCACTGTGCTTACCAGTTTTGTCTTCAACCAGGATTTTTACATATAGTGATGGGTGGAAATCGCTGTCACAGAACACTGCTTGTGGTGGGTCCTCGATGGTAACAAACTCCAATATAGCCTATGGCGTAGGTGCATAAATTGATGACTGTATGTGTGTGTGCCCTGGGATTATGCAGAAGGCTTCGAGATGATATAAGTTCTCAGTTGTACCTGGCATTCAGTGGCACAGCGAAAGTGCTTGGGAAACAGGCCTTGGGATGGTATGGTGGACTTTAGTGATTTTGCACTGCATCAACATGACCTAGGTCTGTTGTGTGTATAGATGAATAAATGTTACGGCAGTGACTGGACTTTACTGCTAATGACATGCCAGTTACCCACCCTGTCTGTAGTGGGCATTCTTGCCCAGACTCAGGAAAGCTTTTGTCATACTGGATTCATCACAGAAGTCCCATTGGGATGGAGGAGGACATACTCACTATTGTCAGTGAATCTCCAGGCTTCTATGCTGACAAATAATGAGGACACCTTATTGGCAATGTGACTAGTCTCTGAAGGCTCACTGACTATAACCAATTAGGGTGCCTGTGCGATTGAGTGACATAGCAAGTGTCTCACACCTGCAGGCAGGATGGACCCAGGCTGAAGGAGCAGACATGGCCCTCAAGGGGGTTCTGGGGACAAAGATTTGGACTGGGAAGGGAAAATGCCCCCTCTCTCTAGTTCCCTGCACACCCCCAAAAAAGATGGAGGACATACTCACTATTGTCAGTGAATCTCCAGGCTTCTATGCTGACAAATAATGAGGACACCTTATTGGCAATGTGACTAGTCTCTGAAGGCTCACTGACTATAACCAATTAGGGTGCCTGTGCGATTGAGTGACATAGCAAGTGTCTCACACCTGCAGGCAGGATGGACCCAGGCTGAAGGAGCAGACATGGCCCTCAAGGGGGTTCTGGGGACAAAGATTTGGACTGGGAAGGGAAAATGCCCCCTCTCTCTAGTTCCCTGCACACCCCCAAAAAAGATTGGTTGGATTTGGGTGTGGAGAAGGTTGGCCAGGGAACTTAGGGGATGTCCTTGGGGTTTATGTGGCTGCTTTCCAAAGACTGCTTCAGACGCTCACTATGAAGAGCTCACTACAGCTATCTCCTGCCTTCTGTCCCCGTTCCTTGTGTCAGGAGAATATCTGAGGCTCAGCCACAGGATCACAGGATTTAACCCATATTGCACGTTGTCTGTGTCTTCTACTGCATGGGTCTGTGTTCTCTTGCTTTGCTTCTTGGCTTTAAGTTCTTCCTTGCTTGGTGAGGCATCTTAGCATGAGTGATCAGACAGTTTAGTTCTCCCATGTATTTTGCTTCTCTTTGTAGCTCCTCTTTTGGCTTTTTGGTGGCTGCTTCTCTTTTTTCAGAGGGAGTATTTCTTCTGTGACTCAAGAGTTAGTGGTTTCCTGGGCTATATGTAGTATGGAGTGTTATGTGGTAGGACTATAAAGCCTGGAGAAACTTTTTCGGGACAGTGTTTCTGAGTAGAGGTTAATCTCAGTGGTGCCCTTCTTACATGAGATCTGCAGGGATTACACCCGTCACTAGTGCTGGAATCCATCTGGGGCTGATTCATCACAAGTGGGGTTACAGTGGCGATTAGGGAACTCAGCCTGGATTGCTCTATTAACCCAGTACTTGGGGTGTTAACAGGAATGGTTTTAATGCAATGCAATTAACTGCTACAGCTGCCCAGTGAGGTGCTGTTGTATGTTCTTCTAACCTTGGCTATTTCTGTTCGCGCAGGGTGCCCTGCTGTAGTTCCCTAGCTTGCAGCTGTGGGATGAGCGTTGGATGCTCAGCTCTGAGTTCCTACAGAGTTTTCCAGCCTGCCATGGTGATATTATCTCAGAACAGGAATATAGTAGAGATACTCCTGCACTGTGAAAGGGGCTCTTCCTCTCCTTTCTGAGGAAGCAGGACATACCTGCCATCATCTCAATTTTCTCTGTGTATTTTCCTTTCCTATCAAAGGCCCTGCAACGTGGTAACAGCCATCAGCCTGGCACAGTTCAGACCAGCAGCAGTATTATAACAGCACTGTGTGTACAGGAGAGAGCTCAGGGATTGTTACACAAGGGAGCAGTACCAAGAAACAAACATAATAAAAGACAGTTCATAAAAATGGAACAAAATATCCTATAGTTCTGAAACAAGCATGAAACATACTGAGTTAGGCAGCAAGGGGGCAGAGCAGGGCAGGGCCAGGAGGCTGCCAGGTGTCTAGATTATCCATGCCCCGTATTTCTGCCTTCCAAGGATTTTGAGCAAAACAGGACATTGCTTCCTGTGTGCATGAACTCTTGGACAAAGAGAAATGGAGAAAGGAACAAAAGTCACATATTCCTGCCTTGTGTTCACACTGGAATTGGTTAGGAACAGTGTGACCTTAAAGTCATACCAACCCTTCAGGATCCCAGGTGTCAGTACAAACTTTTACCCCACAGTGTTAGCAAATAAAATCAGTTAAGTTTAAAGACACTTTCCTATGATAACAAGAAAGCATGATTTAATGGTGTTTAGCAAATTTTATTAGCTCAATAGCCTTATTAGGCATCAGCTCAAAAGCCACACTTAGCCATTGTGGAGTTGTCCCCTTCTGTATGAGGCCTCCTCTCGCCACTACTCATCCTCCCCCCTGTGCTAATTGTCTTTGAACAACATCTACCTTTTCTGTGTGCCTTGGTGCAGGGAGACAAGACTTCTCTCGAGGGGTGATGACGAAGACTCTCCCAGGGTAGCTGTTGTGCTGTTCTCACTAGGAAGACGATAGTACTAGCACAGAATGAAATATGGCAAGTGGAGTGACAGCAGCTGTGTCTGGAGTGGCCTCAGATCCTATAATTACATCTCCCTTTATTACCTCTGCTAATGGCCCTCCAGGATGACAGAAATGATAATAAATTAACAGATTATGAACTCCACTTGCCACAAATTATGTGACTTTTTTTTTTTAATTCTGGGAGCTCCCACTGCCCAACCACTGAAATAAAAAAAAATTCACAAAAAATAAAAAACCCGAACGTCACATCAGCTATTGCAAATAAAGCAGCTTTTCTCAACCTCCACCTGGGAAGGAGGGAAACATGCATGCAGCTCTGTGCTACAGACAGAGGCTCCTCTTTTGGGAGCCTAGGGATGGCAGTGGAGTATTCAGCACCTTTCAGGATAAGACCTGAGAAAAGCAGCAAGAAACAGATCACTAAGGGCATTTTTTTTTTTTCTGGGAGCTCCCACTGCCCAACCACTGAAATAAAAAAAAATTCACAAAAAATAAAAAACCCGAACGTCACATCAGCTATTGCAAATAAAGCAGCTTTTCTCAACCTCCACCTGGGAAGGAGGGAAACATGCATGCAGCTCTGTGCTACAGACAGAGGCTCCTCTTTTGGGAGCCTAGGGATGGCAGTGGAGTATTCAGCACCTTTCAGGATAAGACCTGAGAAAAGCAGCAAGAAACAGATCACTAAGGGCACTTTCTGGATGCTGTGCCATCAAACAGCTCAGGAATGCAAAAGGGCTGGATTCTAGGAATTCCTGGGAGCTGTAAGATGGCAAGGCAGTTGAATTTCACAACTCACCAGTGTTACAAACACTGTTACAAACAGTGTTACAAACCTATAATAGCAAACCTGTGATTTTGGCCGGGTGAAATTAGCATTTACCTTTCCTGATCTCAAGTTTTATAGCATAGGAGACCCTAGGTTATATGATCTTCCCTTGTCTATGCAGACTGCAATGATACAGGTACAGTCCTCCAACCGTTGCATTCTACATGTGTAAACACTGGAGGAAAAGGGTCCCAATTCTGTCAGACATTTCAAGTCCAGGCTTGGCACCACAGCACTCCCTCCCTCATGCCTGCCTGCCGGAACTGGAGTTTTTGGCTACCTTGGAGTGCTTCTGGCAGGGGGCTTTCCCAGGTGGGTAGGATAATTGCAGCTGGCTCTTCTGTTCTCCTTGGCACAGGGTAAAGCATGGTCTCCCCTGTGCAATTCCCACCTGCCATAACTGCCTCTGGAAAGAGTGATTAACAGAAATGCTGGATGTACAGGCTACTGCTAGGGTTAAGTCAATTTTTCTACTTTATTCTCTAGCAGAAAAGCGTGAGCCATGTCTGTCCTGAATCCTCTCACTCTACTACATGACTGTTTCTCAATCTTTAACAAATTTCGTTGGCAGACTGCAGTGAGGCGATGGCATAACGCCTTTTGTAATCCAGATGGAATGAAGATGCAAAAAGGCCACGCGACTGACCCAGAAACTGGACTTAAGGCAGCAGCCTAAATGCTGGGCTGTTCTTCATGGTCAGAGCTAGGAGAGGGGTGACAAAAGGAGAGATTCCAGGTGCTAGAGACTGTGACAGTGGCTGTGCACAGCACCATTACCCCTGTCTCAGGGCTAATCTCATCAGTTCCCTGTGCAGCAAGCAGGAGACCTGGGGAGACAGGATCCCAAGCCTTCGAGCTGCATCAGCCTGCGCTTGGACTCAGTCAGGAGGGCTGCATTCAGGAGCAGCACAGTACTGACTGCAGGAGGTAAGGGGCAGAAGGGTGAGGCAAAGGATGAGGCACCCCTGAAGTACTCACAGCCTGAGCAAGGGGTGGGATTCACCAGGTGCCCGGCTACATGGAGCATAGGCTGTGCTGTACAGGAATCAATCTCACAGTCATGGAGCTGGATTTGCAGCTCTTCTCCCCAGTAGCCTGGACTCCTCTTTAGCTGTTCCCTCTGGCACTCCTCCCCAATGGTTTATTGATTCTTCCCTCCCACCCACTGCTCCCCTCAGACCTTGCACACACAACACGTGACAGCTGATTGGTATCTGTTAATTAATGTGGCCTGGGGCCTCTTTTCTATTCAGTGGCCTGATAAGGGAAATTGGATGTCCAAGGGCTGCCAGGCCATTATCACCCTTTGCATCCCCTGGCAACACAAACACAAAACATGGCGTAGTGATAAATAAATACCACTAACCCACCCTTCTGCCTTCCCTTCCCCAGCTGAGATAGTGCAGATAGAAAAAGAGAACCCACAGTCAGTCAATATAGCAATCATCAGCTCTTTTGTTAATTGCCAACTTGATAACAAGAGAAATCAAATGATCATCATGGTGGCTGGCTACCTAGGTCCCTATACAGGGCCAAGAACTGTGAGCAGGGAGGGCTGTGGGATAAAGGAGTTCTGCTGAGCCTAGCACACATCCAGCGGGACTGGGAAGCTCCTGGACAGAGGCTAACGAGCTCACAGGCTTCTTGGTGAGCCCCGAGGCTTAATAAGCATCTGGGGAGAAAACTGGCAGGGGAGGCTGGTGGAGCATTGCCCTCCCAGCTTGAGGGGTGCCTGGGTGTCCCATTCGTTCACAGCTCAGGGAACCTTTAGACATGAGCTGCCAAAAAGCACAGTCCCTGCCTGTCAGTGGTGGGCAGGAACTGCCTAGATGGGACCAACACACTGTGCTTGGCATCCCTGTTGCACAGTGCCCATCTCCCAGGATCTTTCATGGTCTGGTCTTCAAGGGTACCTGGTACAAAGGGCATAACAGACACAGCTTTCCTTCCATGCACTTTTTTTCCCCCTTCAGGACAGACAGTGCCTCTGTGTTTTGGCCTCTCCACTTTCTCAAGTGGGCTCTGGGGCTGTTGGGGGGTGTCTATCTCCAGATGGTGATTGCTCTTTCTGTATTTGAGGAGAATGACTTGGTTCACTGCTGGGTGCTGGTTCCATTGGTTTGGCTGTGATTTAGGTACTTGTATGGCACTGTAAAGATGTTTTTGACACTGGGTAGGGTTGTTGGCTGTGAGGTGCAGGAAGCTGATGGTGTGGAGCTCAGGGAGTGATGAGGAATAGAAGCGGATTCTGTTCACAAATGTATTCAGCTTTTAAATACATTTCAGTGCTCTGTTGTGGCAGGACCTTTTCTCATGTTGGCCAAAATGAGAGACTGTGGTATGCTTGTAATTCAGGCCTGTGTCATTCCCTCCTATCCCATCAGAAACCCTCTTTTCTGCCATCTGGAGCTCTTTGGTCAGCTGGGGCAGACGAAATAGGCTGCACTACAAAACTACAGAGGAACAATGAGCAGGACGATGTGGTACAAAACAGTTGCTGCTATAGAAGAAGCAGTGATCATTGAAAAGAGGTTATTATTAACCTTGGGTTGCCATAAATGCAGTCAGAGCATCAGGAGTCCTGTTTGAGGCTGTGGGTGGGCATGGGAGCAAAGAGAAGGGTAAGGTCCATGTGTGCTGATTGCCACAGAGACAGGGTCACTTTAGTAAGCTTTGGGGTTTTTTTTGAAAGCAGCAGGCCAATGGGGGAGAGTGCTTGCGGTGAATCCCAGGGAAACTTAAGGACCCCAGACTCCTAGAGGCTTTGCTGCACACCCATTTGACCCTGCTTGTCTTTTGCCCTGCCAGGGTTCTCCAACCTCTCCCTTGGGGACCAGATGAGCCTCCTGCAGAGCGCCTGGATGGAAATCCTCATCCTGGGCATTGTGTACCGCTCCCTGCCATATGAGGACAAGCTTGTCTATGCTGAGGACTACATCATGGATGAAGAGCACTCTCGTCTGACGGGGCTGCTGGAGCTCTACCTGGCCATCCTACAACTGGTGCGCCGCTACAAGAAGCTCAAGGTCGAAAAGGAGGAGTTTGTCACGCTCAAAGCTCTGGCCCTCGCCAACTCAGGTACAGCCCTGGCCCAGCCAGCCTCACAATCAGGGAGTCAAGGCCCATGCTGTTATCTGGCGTGGGAGGAAACTAGAGCCTACTGCCCGAGACTGTGCGCTGCCTGTGTCATGCAACATCCTCAATGCTCCTCTCTGTCCACAGAGCAGGACCTAAGCTGGAGAGCAGGGAGAAATGAGGCTTGCTGCTGCTAGAGCCCCAGCTGTGCTCTGGCCATGTATTAGGGAGTGGAGCCAGGCAGGGATGGGCTGGCTGCTGGTTTCTAGCAGTAAAAGAAAGGCTGTGGAGCCCTTCTCCACTAGCAAGCTGACTCCAGCGCCATGAGTTCAGAAAAGGGGATGTGGGCCACGCCTGCATCCACCTCAGTAGCGCTGGTCAGTTACAGCAAACAGGGAAACCCTGGTCCCAGTTTCAAATAGCACAAAAAGCTGTGGGATTGGGGCTGCCTGGTCCTGCCCTGGAGATGTTCAGTGACCACAGACACCGAATCCCCTTTTAACTGGGAGACAGTATGGATCTGGATGGTAGAGAGTAAGACATGCTGGCAGAAGCCTGATGTTGCCTGTTCTGTTTCTTCTTGTGAAGAGGATGAGAAAGGCCAGGGCCCTCAGCCCAGTGCCTTGCATCTCAGTCTGGGGAGGGCTGCAGCCCTCAATCCAGCAGGCTGTGGGAGACGCAAGAGGTGATGTGTGCTGCACTGATGTTGCACAGAAGCCAAACACGTATTTGCTCACTAGTCCCTTCCAAAAGGGAAACTGCTAAAGCTACTGTGTGACGAGGGCTCCCTCTACATCCCTTGAGTCTTCATTGTCTCACATCAGATCTTGTTGAACTGCATCGTGCAGGTCACAGAATTCACCCTTGCAGCCCAGCAGTGAGTCCAATATCTGTGTTTGGCTAAAACTGCCTTCCAGAAAGACACCCAGTGTGAAGCTGAAGGGATTAAAAGAGGAGGAATCTACATCTTTCGTGGTAGCTGACGCTAATAATTAATCATTCTCTCAGTTTAAAAATAAAAAGAAAGGCACCATATCTTTAACATCAGTTTGCTTGAGTTCAGCCTCCAGATACTGGTCTTTGTTGAGCTGTGTCCTATGACCCTAGGTCTTTTTACACCTGACAGCTTGACACAATAAAGTTCCTGTTCCATAGTTGCATTCCTTGGCTATAGATATATTACTTCAAGTGTAAGCAAGTGGTACAGAATGCTGTGAGGCGGGCAGCCTCATTGTCTCACATCACCCTATCCTCACCATTTTACACCATTCTGTTCCTCTTTGCCATCCATGCTTCTTAGCAGCAGCAATTTAAAAGAAGAAAAGAAAAATTACTTACAGCTCATTGAGAAAAATGTTGAATAGCATCTGGTTTTTTACTGATCCCTGTGGATTTCCACTAGAAAACTCCTCCTTCAGGGATGATTCACCACTGATAGCTACTTTGAGGTCTGTCATCTAGCCAGTTACTAATCAATTGAAAGTGTGCTTTATTGATATTGCATAGTGCTAATTTTTTAATGAGAATGTCCTGTGGTGCTAAGCCAAGTGCCTTATAAAAGCCTAAGTCTATTATATGTAAGCAGTTAACTTTATCAACCAAACTTGTAATCTCATCAGAGAGTGAAATCAGGTTTGTTTGACAAGACCTCTATTCCAAAGTATTGTGTTGACTGGCAGTAGTTGTAATACCATCTTGTAAGTCTTAATTGAACGTCACTTTTTTTTCCCCTTTATTTTGCCCTGGTTCACATCAGGCTAGCATGGACATTATCAGATAAGACCTAGGAAAATACGTGCATCATTAGAACTTTTCCAGTCATCTTGAATTTCTCAAAAATACCAAGACTTGTTAATCATTAATCTGCCCTAGATGGGCCTCAGCCAGCAATTTTAGAACTCTTAAAGCCAAGTTGTCCAGCTCTGCTGATTTCTGTAAAGTTTGTCCCTAGCAGGTGTCTAACATCTTCTTGCATACACAACAGACTAAGAAGTCTTCATCATCTTCATATAACACAGGTACATAATGCTCCTTTTGTCTAAACACGACAGAAATATGCACTGAGGACTTCCGTCTCCTCTGCACTGCTATTAATAGTTTAATCATCTCCAGGTGAGAAGAGCCCCCCTACAAATGGTCCTTTTTCTTCTGTTTCTTAAATATTTATAAAACTTCTTCATTGTCCTTAGCCCTTCCAGCCATGGATTTTCTTCCGATGTCCTTCACTTCCCTTATCAATTTTCTACACTTCATAACTTCTGATTCATATAAATTGCTATCTAGTTCCCTTTTACAATTTCTCATATATTGCTTTTTTAGCTCTAATTGGTGCCTTTACTTTGCCACTGAACCAGGATGGGCAGATGGCCAAGGCTGGCCTCTCTCTATTGTGGGACGGTGGCTTTTGGCGATGTAATCAACTCTTGTTAAAGAACCTGCCTCCTGTCTACCAGGAAGGTCACAGGATTAAACAGGGAGAAGGGCTCCTCAGAGAGGCTGAAGTGCTAAGGTAGTGGTTGTGACAGGGTGACAGGATAAGTGCCACACCAGGACATTTATCTGGCCCATGCTATGAGCAGAGACAGTGCAGGACCTGAGCCTCGGTGCTGTCAATTTCCTCACGGTGCAACAGAAGCACTCTCTGCTGATGTTGCTCCCTGTGCGGTCAAGACTAAGCCTAGGGTAAGCCTTATGGGACAGTCTGCATCAGGAGTGGAGAAACACTGAGCAAAGACAGAGCAGAACAACCAACACACATCAGCTGCTTTGGGGTTCTGTATCCAGCGCTGTGGAGTAAAGAAACCAAGGTAAGGGTCAGGAGGCACAGGCCAAAGCATGTTCTCAGCTGGATGGGAAAAGCCATTCTGACTTCACTGGTTTCTCCTAGTGCTGCTAGAATTGCAGCTATGTAGGGGCATAATCCACAAAAATCCTGCTTTGTTATTCGTACTGAAACATGTGAAAGTAAAGCATGAGATCTTGTTTTTCATGTAATTAAATCCTCTCACAACACACAGATAAGGAAGCTAGAATAGGGCAAGTGTATTTTTCTAATGTAACCTTCACATTCAACCTTCGCATTCTTTAATATAAGTTATTTTTCTTGTGTATTTTTGACATGGAGTAAACTTGCAGAGCCTGCATGTATGTGCTTGCATGCAAACAGCTGATTCCTAAAACGGTAGGAATGCAGACTACCTCTGGGCCAGGCCTCAGCTCCCTTGGGTCAGAGACAGGGTTTAAAGCTGAGCACTTAGATTAGCACCTGTGCTGCCTAGACCTGCTTTCTGCCTTGCCTCCCATATAGATAAATTCCTGAATTTCCCCTATCCCTGCTGGGTGTAATTGTTCATGCAACCCAGCTTCTAGGGACTTTCCTCTCTTCCATGCAGCTCTGTGTATATTGACCCTTTGTTTCTAGGAATTAAAACAAATGAAAACAGAAGTGGGAGCTCACTTGCTCTTTACTAGAGGAGAAACTGACAATAGGCCGACCTTGCCAGAGCTGTGGCTGATCTCCGAGTCCTCAGTGTAATGCACCAAGGACACACCTGCTGGGACTGGCAAAGACAATTCAAGCGAACTCTGTCTTTAATAAGTGCATTTTAAAGAGCTGAGAAATGAATTCTTAATGTCCAGAACAGCAGGCAAGTCCCAACAATATGATCACTCATTTTTTGACAGAGTAGGGGTGCTGTAGAAGTAACTTGTTCACTTCAGAGCCAGCAGTCCCTTCTTAGGCATTCCTAGGTCCTCTTTCCTCAGGAATACAAATTGATCAACCTGTGTATTGAAGAGCCCTCCAGGTTAGCATACAGCATATGTTCAGTTAAGGACATCCCAGACTGGCCAAACCTTATTTCCCCTTTTTTTCCCCAATGCATTTGAGTGCTGAGATGGAGTGAACACGGTCTGGATCTAGCAAGGGGATGTGTAGCAAATTCTGTACTAACGGGTCCTGTGAGGTCTCTGCTCCTCCTGCTCCTGCCAGAAGCTGCAAGAAAAGAGTTAGGTGAGGAGGCAGTGGGCCTTGTCCATTCTCACACCTGCCCTATACCCCATGCCAGCAGTGCTGGAGAAGGGCTCCTGACGTGAAGCCTGACTTCTAGGCCAGCTGACCCTCAGGGACATGGTCAGGCAGCCTCCCTCCACCTCAGTGCTCTTGACAGCTGTAAAAATTCATAGCTATTGATTTTGTAATTAACAGTTTATCAATGCCATCGACACCAGTTCACTGATGGATTGCAAGGAAATTAATCCTGCAATGTTATTTTATTTTTCGCAGTCAGCTGCCAATTTTGAGCTTCTTTCAGCAAAGAGTGGGGGGGTGCGGCAGGCTTTGATCTTTATTTCCCCAATTCCTCTCCCTTTATACGTCTAGTTATTTAGTGCTGTTAAGCCTCGTCACCTTACAGAAGTCAGGTGGCAGAAGGGCACAGCTTTGGCATTCTGTCGACTGTACAGCAGCATCAGTACCCAAAACCAGAGCACCCACTTTCACCTGAAGCATGGCTCGTTGCCTGGTGCTTCTAGCATCCGCTGGGATCTGCAAACTCTGATGGGCTGTGATTACTTCTCCCCTGTGTGCCCCTAGCCAGAAGGACATTAAACAGAAAGGCTGGAGGACGTTTCTCTCCAAGCTCCAGCTCTTGATGCTTCCAGTCTCCAAAATGACCTCTGCAACTTGGCAGGAAACAGACCCCACTCACTTCTCCTGGATGGTGCATGGAAATTTCCTAGAGGTGCTACCTGGCTGGGACAAGTTGCCAGGCTGACTTGGAAACATGCTTCTCCTTCCCTACTTTTCAGAATCGACCTCTGTGGCTAGCTCAGGTCACTGTGATGACGTACCAGCCCCTCTCTGAGCTTCTTTGCCTGGTCTCTTGGATACAAAAAGCAAATGCAGCAAGAACAATCCTTCCTCAGTAGGCTTCTTGGAAATACAACCCTTTAATATCTTCTCATTAGTGCATTCCTTCTAAACAGCTTCTTAAACAGCTTTCTTGCTAGACATGATTTTTTCCCAACTGTTGTAATACTTTATAAATCATGCATCATAAATAGCATTTACTGTACATGTATCTTATGAAATTCACAGTCTCTAATTTGTGTTGCACTCTCCATAGAGATGACACGTATTTCTAGAGAGATTTTGGCACTTCAGCCGGCTTTCCTCCCCTTTGCTGCTGTTACACTGAGGAACCCATGTCCTCAGATGTGTGTTCTATGTGTGTGGGCTGAGCCAGAGCATTGCCACACTGCAAAGCCCAGCTGCAGTGGCAGACGGTGCAACTACATGTGTGCACGTGTGCTTGCCATAGTATCCCTTTGCTGCTGCTTCTGGATTTATTGCCCTGTGGCAGGAATCTTTATCAATGGGTTCAGTATCGATTAAAAGTCTCCGAACAATGAAGACCAGGCAACACTGTCTCCAGCTCTGACAGGGTTGTAAGAAAGAAGCAAGTATCAGCAAGATGAAAAGGAGAAAAACCTTCAGTGGTGCCGTGCCTGGTTAGCTTCTCTAATCTAACCTCTGCTCTTTGGTGCTGCCCTCTGTCACCATGACTTACCCACAAGTTTAGCAGCCTGTGTTCGACTCAGGTTCCCCAGCTCAACCCTGGACTGGGTCACTACTAGCTGCCTTTGCCTCAGAGACACACCAAGGAGCTGTGCTAGCCTCGCAAACCCTGCTAGCCCCTCCGGCAGCTTGTAGAAATCTAACAACTGGCAGCCTAAGGGAAGAGGCCTTGCAGGAGGTGCCCGTTTCCTTTACTGAAGCAGGAAGCTCCCCGAGCAGCTGCTGGCAGTCTCTGAAAACAGGGACATATGCACAAAGGTGGGGCTGGCAACACCCCTGGGCACACTGGTTGTGACCTACTGGGGCTTTTCTGTCTTGCTGACACCCTGAGCAGCTGCATGGCAATTAGGCAGTTTAGACAGATGAAGCGCTATAGCAGTGTTAATTATTCTTAATGAGATTGCTCCCAAGCGGCAGCACAGCAGCTGCTGCCCCTTGCAGGGTGACTCTCCCCATAAGGAGCATGGAGGGCAAGTGAATGTGCAAGTCACAAAGGCTCCCGGCTGACCCCTGCACAGCCCCAGACCCCTGCCCCTGGCTGGCAAAATGGGCAGCACACAGGGCACAATGTGTCACCTACCCCTGGCAAGCTTACTGTCCCTGCGCTGCTAGGGCCACTCATTGGGCTGATGCTGAACTACACAGCAGCACCGCCAACACCTGCCAGCAAGGTGTTTTTTTCCCCTAGAGAAACAAAACAACAACAAACACCCCCCCAAAAAAAAAAAA